ACTGGCAAACTGGATAAAGAGTCAAGACCCATCAGTTTGCTGTATTCAGGAGACCCATCTCACATGCAGAGACATACATAGACTCAAAATAAAGGGATAGAGGAAGGTCTACCAAGCAAATGGAGAACAAAAAAAAGCAGGAGTTGCAATACTAGTCTCTGATAAAACAGACATTAAACCATCAAAGATCAAAAGACACAAAGAAGGCCATTACATAATGGTAAAGGGATCAATTCAACAGAAAGAGCTAACTATCCTAAATATATATGCACCCAATACAGGACCACCCAGATTCATAAAGCAAGTCCTTAGAGACTTACAAAGAGACTTAGACTCCCATACAATAATAATGGGAGACTTCAACACCCCACTGTCAACATTAGACAGATCAACGAGACAGAAAGTTAACAAGGATATCCAGGAATTGAACTCATCTCTGCAGCAAGCAGACCTAATAGACATCTATAGAACTCTCCACCCCAAATCAACAGAATACACATTCTACTCAGCACCACATCACACTTATTCCAAAATTGACCACATAATTGGAAGTAAAGCACTCCTCAGCAAATGTACAAGAACAGAAATTATAACAAACTGTCTCTCAGACCACAGTGCAATCAAACTAGAACTCAGGACTAAGAAACTCAATCAAAACCGCTCAACTACATGGAAACTGAACAACCTGCTCCTGAATGACTACTGGGTACATAACGAAATAAAGGCAGAAATAAAGATGTTCTTTGAAACCAATGAGAACAAAGATACAACATACCAGAATCTCTGGGACACATTTAAAGCCGTGTGCAGAGCGAAATTTGTAGCACTAAATGCACACAAGAGAAAGCTAGAAAGATCTAAAATTGACACCCTAACATCACAATTAAAAGAACTAGAGAAGCAAGAACAAACACATTCAAAAGCTAGCAGAAGGCAAGAAATAACTAAGATCAGAGCAGAACTGAAGGAGATAGAGACACAAAAACCCTCCAAAAAATCAATGAATCCAGCAGCTGGTTTTTTGAAAAGATCAACAAAATTGATAGACCGCTAGCAAGACTAATGAAGAAAAGAGAGAAGAATCAAATAGACGCAATAAAAAATGATAAAGGGTATATCACCACCGACCCCACAGAAATACAAACTACCATCAGAGAATACTATAAACACCTCTACGCAAATAAACTAGAAAATCTAGAAGAAATGGATAATTTCCCGGACACTTACACTCTCCCAAGACTAAACCAGGAAGAAGTTGAATTCCTGAATAGACCAATAGCAGGCTCTGAAATTGAGGCAATAATTAATAGCCTATCAACGAAAAAAAGTACAGTACCAGATGGATTCAGAGCCGAATTCTACCAGAGGTACAAGGAGGAGCTGGTACCATTCCTTCTGAAACTATTCCAATCAATAGAAAAAGAGGGAATCCTCCCTAACTCATTTTATGAGGCCAACATCATCCTGATACCAAAGCCTGGCAGAGACACAACAAAAAAAGAGAATTTTTTTTTTTTTTTGAGTCGGAGTCTCGCTCTGTCGCCCAGGCTGGAGTGCAGTGGCCGGATCTCAGCTCACTGCAAGCTCCGCCTCCTGGGTCTACGCCATACTCCTGCCTCAGCCTCCCGAGTAGCTGGGACTACAGGCGCCTGCCACCTCGCCTGGCTAGTTTTTTGTATTTTTTTTTGGTAGAGACGGGGTTTCACCGTGTTAGCCAGGCTGGTCTCGATCTCCTGACCTCGTGATCCATCCGTCTCGGCCTCCCAAAGTGCTGGGATTACAGGCTTGAGCCACCGCGCTGGGCCAAAAAGAGAATTTTAGACCAATATCCCTGATGAACATCGATGCAAAAATCCTCAATAAAATACTGGCAAACTGGATCCAGCAGCACATCAAAAAGCTTATCCACCATGATCAAGTGGGCTTCATCCCTGGGATGCAAGGCTGGTTCAACATACGCAAGTCAATAAACGTAATCCAGCATATAAACAGAACCAAAGACAAAAACCACATGATTATCTCAATAGATGCAGAAAAGGCCTTTGACAAAATTCAACAGCACTTCATGCTAAAAACGCACAATAAATTCGGTATTGATGGAACGTATCTCAAAATAATAAGAGCTATTTATGACAAACCCACAGCCAATATCATACTGAATGGGCAAAAACTGGAAAAATTCCCTTTGAAAACTGGCACAAGACAGGGATGCCCTCTCTCACCACTCCTGTTCAACACAGTGTTGGAAGTTCTGGCTAGGGCAATCAGGCAAGAGAAAGAAATCAAGGGTATTCAGTTAGGAAAAGAAGAAGTCAAATTGTCCCTCTTTGCAGATGACATGATTGTATATTTAGAAAACTCCATTGTCTCAGCCCAAAATCTCCTTGAGCTGATAAGAAACTTCAGCAGAGTTTCAGGATACAAAATCAATGTGCAAAAATCACAAGCATTCTTATACACCAGCAACAGAGAAAGAGCCAAATCATGAATGAACTTCCATTCACAATTGCTTCAAAGACAATGAAATACCTAGGAATCCAACTTACAAGGAATGTAAAGGACCTCTTCAAGGAGAACTACAAACCACTGCTCAGTGAAATAAAAGAGGACACAAACAAATGGAAGAACATACCATGCTCATGGATAGGAAGAATCAATATCATGAAAATGGCCATACTGCCCAAGGTAATTTATAGATTCAATGCCATCCCCATCAAGCTACCAATGAGTTTCTTCACAGAATTGGAAAAAAACTGCTTTAAAGTTCATATGGAACCAAAAAAGAGCCCGCATTGCCAAGACAATCCTAAGTCAAAAGAACAAAGCTGGAGGCATCACGCTACCTGACTTCAAACTATACTACAAGGCTACAGTAACCAAAACAGCATGGTACTGGTACCAAAACAGAGATATAGACCAATGGAACAGAACAGAGTCCTCAGAAATAATACCACACATCTACAGCCATCTGATCTTTGACAAACCTGAGAGAAACAAGAAATGGGGAAAGGATTCCCTATTTAATAAATGGTGCTGGGAAAATTGACTAGCCATAAGTAGAAAGCTGAAACTGGATCCTTTCCTTACTCCTTACACGAAAATTAATTCAAGATGGATTAGAGACTTAAATGTTAGACCTAATACCATAAAAACCCTAGAAGAAAACCTAGGTAATACCATTTAGGACATAGGCATGGGCAAGGACTTCATGTCTAAGACACCAAAAGCAACGGCAACAAAAGCCAAAATTGACAAATGGGATCTAATTAAACTAAAGAGCTTCTGCACAGCAAAAGAAACTACCATCAGAGTGAACAGGCAACCGACAGAATGGTAGAAAATTTTTGCAATCTACTCATCTGACAAAGGGCTAATATCCAGAACCTACAAAGAACTCAAACAAATTTACAAGAAAAAAACAAACAACCCCATCGAAAAGTGGGCAAAGGATATGAACAGACATTTCTCAAAAGAAGACATTCATACAGCCAACAGACACATGAAAAAATGCTCATCATCACTGGCCATCAGAGAAATGCAAATCAAAACCACAATGAGATACCATCTCACACCAGTTAGAATGGCGATCATTAAAAAGTCAGGAAACAACAGGTGCTGGAGAGGATGTGGAGAAATAGGAACACTTTTACACTGTTGGTGGGATTGTAAACTAGTTCAGCCATTATGGAAAACAGTATGGTGATTCCTCAAGGATCTAGAACTAGAAGTACCATATGACCCAGCCATCCCATTACTGGGTATATACCCAAAGGATTATAAATCATGCTGCTATAGAGACACATGCACACGTATGTTTATTGCGGCACTATTCACAATAGCAAAGACTTGGAATCAACCCAAATGTCCATCAGTGACAGACTGGATTACGAAAATGTGGCACATATACACCATGGAATACTATGCAGCCATAAAAAAGGATGAGTTTGTGTCCTTTGTAGGGACATGGATGCACCTGGAAACCATTCTCAGCAAACTATCGCAAGAACAGAAAACCAAACACCGCATGTTCTCACTCATAGGTAGGAACTGATCAATGAGATCACTTGGACTCGGGAAGGAGAACATCACACACCGGGGCCTATCACGGGGAGAGGGGAGGGGGGAGGGATTTCGTTGGGAGTTATAACTGATGTAAATGACGAGTTGATGGGTGCTGAGGAGTTGATGGGTGCAGCACGCCAACATGGCACAGGTATACATGTATAACAAACCTGCACGTTATCCACATGTACCCTAGAACTTAAAGTATAATAAATAAATAAATAAATAAATAAATAAATAAATAAATAAAAAAGACGGCAAACTCTGTCTCAACCAGACTCCACCTTTTATCCAGCGTTCAAATACTAAGACCACTGGTGATAGGATAAAATGGAAAGATGAGTTTAAATACAGTATCTACTCTACAGGAAGAATGGGTATTCAGTGAAGACCATGACATTGTAAATTTGCAAATTTAGCCAGCAAATAGAAGTTTTCTTGATGTCACTGCCTAAGTATTAGGTTGGGGCAAAGGTAATTCTGGTTTTCGCCATTACTTTCAATGGTAAAAAACGCAATTAGAAAAGACTATGCATTAGTCAAGGACTTGTTAAGATATCCTAATTTGGGGGATTTCTGTCTTCAAAATTATCTTTAATTTTATAGAACCGTTGGCATAGACTTACTGGTAACCTAGAAAAGTTGAAAGTGCTCTTTTGATCTCTTCTGTTTTTTCTCTTCCCAATGCCTTCCCAAAGGCATAATCAAACTTTACTCCCTCTCTTTCCTTATCCCCCTCATCCTAACCCTACTTCTAATGATATAATCTATTGCCCCGAGCAATCTCAATCACAATGTATACACCAACAAATAGCGTTCAACCAGCAACTACTACTAATCAACGCCCATAATCATATAAGGCACCCGCACCAATAGAATCACCTCGAATTAACCCCGATCCCTCCCCCTCAAAAATTATCCAATCGCCTGTATCACTAAAACTAACCACTACTACTACCACTTCATCCAAACTTAAAACCCATAAAACTAATACCACCTCCATTATCAACCCTACTAAAAGACCCCCTAAAACCTCAAACCCCGAACCCCATGTCTCAGGATACTCTTCAATAGCCATTGCAGTAGTATAACCAAAAACAACCATCATACCCCCCAGATAAACTAAAAACATCATCAAACCCATATAAGCCCCCCCACAACTTAAAACAATCACACAACCAATCACACCACTAACAATTAACGCCAGACCCCCATAAATAGGAGAAGGCTTAGAAGAAAACCCCACAAACCCCATAACTAATAAAACACTCAATGCAAACAAAATATACGTCATTGCTTTCACATGGACTCCAACCATGACTAATGGTACGAAAAACCATCGTTGTATTTCAACTATAAAAGCACCAATGACTCCAATACGCAAATCCAACCCAATCCTAAAAATAATTAATCGCTCCCTCATCGATTTACCCGCCCCACCCAACCTCTCCATATGGTGAAACTTTGGCTCACTTCTTGCAGCCTGCCTAATTTTACAAATCATCACAGGCCTACTCCTAGCAATACACTACTCACCAGACACCTCCTCCGCCTTCTCCTCAATTGCACATATCACCCGAGATGTAAAGTACGGCTGAATCACTCGCTACCTCCACGCCAATGGTGCCTCTATACTCTTCATTTGCCTTTTCCTACACATCGGTCGGGGCCTTTACTACGGCTCATACCTCCTCCTAGAAACCTGAAACATTGGTATTATACTCCTTCTTATAACTATAACAACGGCTTTCATGGGTTATGTTCTCCCATGAGGCCAAATATCATTCTGGGGAGCAACAGTAATCACAAACCTGCTATCAGCAATCCCGTATATCGGAACCAATCTCGTCCAATGAATCTGAGGAGGATACGCCATCGACAGCCCTACTCTCACACGATTCTTCACCTTACACTTTATCCTACCCTTCATCATCATCGCCCTCACAACCGTGCACCTACTATTCCTGCACGAAACAGGATCAAACAACCCTTGCGGAATCTCCTCCGACTCAGACAAAATCGCCTTCCACCCCTACTACACAACCAAAGACATCCTGGGCCTAGTCCTCCTTCTCTTCATCCTAGCAACACTAACACTACTCTCACCCAACCTCCTAAACGACCCAGACAACTACATTCCAGCCGACCCATTAAACACTCCCCCACATATCAAACCAGAGTGATACTTCCTATTTGCATACACAATCCTACGATCCATCCCCAACAAACTGGGAGGCGTACTAGCACTCTTTCTATCGATCCTCATTCTAGCAGCCATCCCTATACTTCACAAATCCAAACAACAAAGCATAATATTCCGCCCACTCAGCCAATTTCTATTCTGACTCCTAATCACAATCCTATTGACCCTTACCTGAATTGGAAGCGAACCAGTAGTCCAACCCCTTACCACTATCGGCCAAGTAGCATCCATAATATACTTCATCACAATTCTAATCCTAATACCACTGGCCTCCCTAATCGAAAACAACCTACTCAAGTGAACTTGCCCTCGTAGTATAAATTAGTACACTGGCCTTGTAAACCAGAAATGAACACTCTTCCTAGGGCAGTCAGAAAGAAAGTACCTAACTCCACCACCAACACCCAAAGCTGGCATTCTAATTTAAACTACTTTCTGCATTCTTATATTGCATAAGCTTCATAAATAACTCTAGCACCAATCCACCCATAATACTACTATGTAATTCGTGCATTACTGCTAGCCAACATGTATAATATATAGTACTATATATGCTTAACTGTACATAACACATATTATTACATACCAACTTGACATTCCAAACAGCATGCTTACAAGCAAGTATCCTAATACAAACCTCAACAGTAACACATAACATGGTTCCCTCGGACTTAACTTGTCCCCCCTCATGAATATCAACTAAACCAGTCCTTGCCAGTCGTCCATAGTACATTAAATCGTTCATCGGACATAGCACATATCTATTAAATAACCCTCCTCACCACGGATGCTCCCCTTCACTTAGGAATCCCTTACTCACCATCCTCCGTGAAATCAATATCCCGCACAAGAGTGCTACTCTCCTCGCTCCGGGCCCATAACTCGTGGGGGTAGCTATACCTGAACTGTATCCGGCATCTGGTTCTTACCTCAGGGCCATAACAATCAAGATCGCCCACACGTTCCCCTTAAATAAGACATCTCGATGGATCACGGGTCTATCACCCTATTAACCAGTCACGGGAGATTTCCATGCATTTGGTATCTTTTATCTCTGGTCTGCACGCAACCCCATTGCAGAATGCTGACTCCCACCACATCCCGTCCTGTATGCGCCTGTCTTTGATTCCTAGTACATGCAGTTGTTGATCGCACCTACGTTCAATATTCTAGCTCCACACAAACCTTAGCAAGGTGTTATTTAATTCATGCTTGTAGGACATACCAATAATCATCCCAGCCGACACCACACCACACCACACCACACCACACCACACATCACTAACCGTATCTTATCAAACCCCCCCACCCCCATCTCCGACCTTCATCCAAACCCCACTCTTGCCAAACCCCAAAAACAAAAGTCTTAACATATCCGATCAGAGCCTATATTTCCATCTTTTAGGTGTGCACAACTCCAACTGCCACTCCCTCAACTAATAAACATTTACTTCACTAAACACCCTCTACACCAACCCGCAACAAATCCTTCTCATACAACCCGAAAGAGGCTGCCTCACAACTATACTAGCACCTTTGTTTATGTAGCTTAAACCCACCCAAAGCAAGACACTGAAAATGCCTAGATGGGTTTGCACACCCCATAAACATATAGGCTTGGTCCTGGCCTTTCTATTAGCTCTTGGCAGGATTACACATGCAAACATCCTCGCTCCGGTGAAGACGCCCTACAAATCATCATGACCAAGAGGAGCAAGCATCAAGCACGCACACGCAGCTCAAAACGCTTTGCCTAGCCACACCCCCACGGGAGACAGCAGTGACAAATATTTAGCAATAAACGAAAGTTCAACTAAGCCATGCTATATTTAGGGTTGGTCAATTTCGTGCCAGCCACCGCGGTTACACGATTAACCCTAGCTAATAGAGACCGGCGTAGAGGGTGTTTAAGATCTGATATAATAAAGCTAAACTCCATCTAAACTGTAAAACTCTAGCTGATGTAAAATAAACTACGAAAGTGGCTTTAAAGCTTCTGAACACACAATAGCCAGGACCCAAACTGGGATTAGACACCCTACTATGCTTGGCCCTAAACCTCAGTAGTTAGATAACAAAACTACTCGCCAGAATACTACAAGCTATAGCTTAAAACTCAAAGGACTTGACGGTGCTTTACACCCCCTAGAGGAGCCTGTTCCGTAATCGATAAACCCCGATCCACCCCACCCTCTCTTGCTCAGCCTATATACCGCCATCTTCAGCAAACCCTAATGAGGGTCACAAAGTGAGCGCAAATGCCATTGCCGCAAACACGTTAGGTCAAGGTGTAGCCTATGAGACGGTAAAAAATGGGCTACATTTTCTACCTCAGAAAATTCCACGAAAACCCTTATGAAATTTAAGGGTCCAAGGAGGATTTAGCAGTAAATTAAGAATAGAGTGCTTAATTGAACCAGGCCATAAAGCGCGCACACACCGCCCGTCACTCCTCTCAAATATATTTAAGGAACATCTTAACTAAACGCCCTAATATTTATATAGAGAGGATAAGTCGTAACATGGTAAGCGTACTGGAAGGTGCGCTTGGATAAATCAAGGCATAGCTTAATATAAAGCACCTGGCCTACACCCAGAAAATCTCAATACCACTTGATTGCCTTGAGCCAATACTAGCCCTAAGCATAACCAACACTAATACCAAACTAACACGCACTAAACCATTCACCTACACAAAGTATAGGCGATAGAAATTTTAATCTGGCGCTATAGACGCAGTACCGTAAGGGAAAGATGAAACCACCCAAGCACAAAACAGCAAGGACTAACCCCTGTACCTTTCGCATAATGAATTAGCTAGAAACAATTTCACAAAGAGAACTACAAGCCAAATTCCCCGAAACCAGACGAGCTACCCAAAAACAGCTAAAAGAGCGCACCCATCTATGTGGCAAAATAGTGGGAAGATTTCTGGGTAGAGGTGACAAGCCTACCGAGCCTGGTGATAGCTGGTTATCCAAGACAGAATCTTAGTTCGACCTTAAGCTTACCTATAGAACCACCTAATCTCCCTGTAAGCTTAATTGCTAGTCTAAAGAGGGACAGCTCTTTAGACACTAGGAAAAAACCTTATAGAGAGAGTAAAATCCTCAATTACCATAGTTGGCTTAAAAGCAGCCATCAATTAAGAAAGCGTTCAAGCTCAACACTAACCACCCCAAAAATACCAAACACATAGCTGAACTCCTCACACCACATTGGATTAATCTATCACCATATAGAAGCAATAATGCTAGTATAAGTAACATGAATATTTTCTCCACTGCATAAGCCCAAATCGGATCGAAAACCTCACCGATACCTAACAGCCAGGCATAGCAAGCACAAACAAGCCCATGCTACCTTCACTGTTAACCCAACACAGGCATGCCTCAAGGAAAGGTTAAAAAAAGTAAAAGGAACTCGGCAAACCTAAACCCCGCCTGTTTACCAAAAACATCACCTCTAGCATTACTAGTATTAGAGGCACTGCCTGCCCAGTGACACACGTTTAACGGCCGCGGTACCCTGACCGTGCAAAGGTAGCATAATCACTTGTTCTTTAAATGGGGACTCGCATGAAAGGCACCACGAGGGTTTAACTGTCTCTTACTTTTAACCAGTGAAATTGACCTGCCCGCGAAGAGGCGGACATAGTATAATAAGACGAGAAGACCCTATGGAGCTTTAATCTATTAATGCAATCAAAAATTACACAAACCCACGGACCTTTAAACTATCGACACCTGCATTAAAAATTTTGGTTGGGGCGACCTCGGAGCACAACAAACCTCCGAATAACACATGCTAAGACCACACAAGTCAAAGCGAACTAACACTTATAATTGATCCAATAACTTGATCAACGGAACAAGTTACCCTAGGGATAACAGCGCAATTCTATTCTAGAGTCCATATCGACAATAGAGCTTACGACCTCGATGTTGGATCAGGACATCCTAATGGTGCAGCAGCTATCAAGGGTTCGTTTGTTCAACGATTAAAGTCCTACGTGATCTGAGTTCAGACCGGAGCAATCCAGGTCGGTTTCTATCTATTGCACATTTCTCCCTGTACGAAAGGACAAGAGAAATAAGGCCCACTTCACAAAGCGCCTTCACTACATAAATGACCTAGTCTTAATTTAGCAAAATACCACACATTCCACCCGAAAACAGGGTTTGTTAAGATGGCAGAGCCCGGTAATTGCATAAAACTTAAAACTTTGTAACCAGAGGTTCAATTCCTCTTCTTAACACCATGACCACAGTAAATCTCCTACTTATAATCATACCCACATTAGCCGCCATAGCATTTCTCACACTCGTTGAACGAAAATTACTAGGCCACATGCAACTACGAAAGGGCCCAATATTGTAGGTCCATGCGGACTATTACAACCCTTCGCCGATGCCGTAAAACTTTTCACTAAAGAACCCCTGAAACCCGCAACATCTACCACCATCCTCTATGTCGTCGCACCTGCTCTAGCCTTCTTCATTGCCCTCCTCCTATGAACCCCCCTCCCCATACCCAACGCTCTAATCAACTTCAACCTAGGGCTCCTATTCATCCTAGCCATACTCAGCCTAATTGTCTACTCCATCCTATGATCAGGATGAGCATCAAACTCAAACTACGCCCTAATCGGAGCTCTGCGAGCCGTCGCCCAAACAATTTCATATGAAGTCACCCTTACTATTATCCTCCTATCAGTCCTACTAATAAGCGGCTCATTTAACCTTAACACACTCATTACAACGCAAGAGCATCTATGACTCCTCCTACCATCATGACCCCTAGCCATAATATGATTTACCTCCACACTAGCAGAAACAAACCGAACCCCTTTTGATCTCATAGAGGGCGAATCAGAATTAGTATCAGGCTTCAACATTGAATACGCCGCAGGTCCATTCGCCCTATTCTTCATAGCCGAATACACAAACATCATCATAATAAACGCCCTAACAACCACAATCTTCCTAGGCACATCCCACTCCACTTATTCACCAGAACTATTCACAACATGCTTCGCCACCAAAACACTCTTCCTAACCTCCCTATTCCTATGAATCCGGGCAGCATACCCCCGATTCCGTTACGACCAACTTATACACCTACTATGAAAAAACTTCCTCCCCCTCACACTAGCACTACTCATATGATCCACCTCAATACCCATCGCAATCTCCAGCATTCCCCCTCAAACCTAGAAATATGTCTGACAAAAGAGTTACTTTGATGGAGTAAATAATAGAGGCCCCAATCCTCTTGTTTCTAGGACTGTAGGTATCGAACCTACCCCTGAGAATCCAAACTTCTCCGTGCTACCCTACACACTCTATCCTAAAGTAAGGTCAGCTAAACAAGCTATCGGGCCCATACCCCGAAAATGTTGGTCACATCCTTCCCGTACTAATTAACCCACTAGCTCAACCCATTATCTACACCACAATAATCACAGGCACACTTATCACAACACTAAGCTCACACTGATTTCTCGCCTGAACAGGCCTAGAAATAAACATACTAGCTTTCATTCCGATCTTAATAAAAAAAACAAGCCTCCGCTCCACAGAAGCCGCTACTAAATACTTCCTAATTCAATCTACCGCATCTATAGTCCTCATAATAGCAATCATCTCCAACAACCTGCTATCAGGGTGCTGAACAACAACGAACTACATCAGCCAACCCCCATCCCTAATAATAACAACCGCCCTCGCCATAAAACTAGGAATAGCCCCCTTCCACTTCTGAGTCCCAGAAGTCACCCAAGGAACACCCCTAACCTCAGGTCTACTCCTTCTTACATGACAAAAACTAGCCCCCATCTCAATCATGTACCAAATTCACCCATCAATCAACACCCACATCCTCCTAACCCTCTCCACCCTATCCATTGCGGTAGGCAGTTGAGGAGGTCTAAACCAAACACAATTACGCAAATCCTAGGGTACTCTTCAATCACACACATGGGTTGAATAATGATAACACTTGTATACAACCCAGCAACTACAATTTTCTATTTAACTACATACATTATCCTAACAACTACCATATTCCTAACCCTCAACTTAAGCTCAAGCACCACAACCCTCATACTATCCCGCACCTGAAACAAATCAACCCACCTAGCACCGCTAATAGCACCCATTCTCATATCTCTAGGAGGCCTACCACCCCTAACCGGCTTCCTACCT